TTTGCCGTCGCATTGTGGCTAATTTTCCCGGCACTCACACACGTGGTTAAGTCGGCCCATAGAAAGTCTGCCCATGGAAAGTCGGCCCATGCATTAAATAAACTTAAAAGTCGGCCCTTTACTATATAACTTAGCCCGTTCCTTTATATAGATTTACTATAGATTGAGAGCCATTTTATTTCCTTGGTGTTTGAGATGGTTTCTGAATATATTATTTTAACGATAAACTAAATATATGAAACAAGTACTAAAAGGGTGGTCAATAAACTTTGTTTGTGTTTGAGATGGTTTCTGTCTTTCTGAATATATCACTTCAACGATAAACGAAATAAACAAGTACTAAAAGGTCAATAAAATTTGATAGACAGTTACACAAATCATAAAAAAACGGAAAGAGCATTCAAAATGTATAGCAAATTCAATCAATACATGCGTAAATTTTCAGAATCATAGACGGATTTCAACGAAGAAGAGAGTTTTTTTGGTGATTGGGTAAAGGAAGAGAACAGGCTTTGGAACCATCTCAAGAAGTTGGTCGTCTTAACCAAACACATCACTGCATTCCGCATCATCTGGACCAAGGCCAAGTCCCCATAGAAACTGTACATACCCATCAATACATACAAAAAGTCACTGACATAGACCTAGAGTCTTTCCGATTTCAATAAGCGTGGGGCTTCCTAGTTGGATCAGGTGCTTCCGGAAGAATAACACAGAGGCCACGTCAGAGGATTTGAGGAGAGGAATGCATATGGGAGACACAAAACGTGGGAGAGACCGAATCGTCTCTCTAAGACCATGGAAATGTAACCGAATCTTTTGACAATATTTCTCATTATTTTTCGTGGAAAAAATATATATCTTATCTTTCCCTCATTTCCATTTATTTGTTTCACTGATTTAGATTTTTTTTCATCCAGACCATGATCATCATCAACTGTGAAAAGAAGTTTCATAATGTAAAAAAAAAAGACTCCCTAGATATAAAAATCTGTGTGGGTCAAAAGAAGTTATAAACTCAGAAACAAGACTTATGAGTCTTTTTGCTCCGTAAGATCATGCATCAGGCTCTCTTAGAGATGGCTATCACATTGAAGTTTAGGGAACCCGGATTCTTCTCAATCATCTCCTTTATCACTTTCGTCGCATCCTGCAAGTATCACCAAAGATATACATCAAACAAGTGTTTGCCAGTTTTTGTCTAATACAAAACCATTGTATATTCCCAGGATTCTTTCAACATTCAGGTCAATAGTACCTTCAATAGGGTAGCTGGAGAGGAGGCACCGTGTGAAATCGGTCCTGCCTTTCTTCCATCAAGTTCATAGAGCTCCCCTGCATTAACCAATCACCAAAAGAAGACCGTGTCATAATTTTTAGTGCCAATTTGGAAGTGAGTTTGATTTCAGTATTCTCATTTTGGAGTTGATGTGAGAATTTGTTACCATCTACACATGCTAAACAGATGAAATGCGTGTCGACGTTGTCTGAAGCCTGAAGATGGGGTAAAAGTAAAAAACAACCAATGTAAACATCTAAACAAACATATTATAGCACATATACACATCCACGAGAGGTGACAAGTTTACCGGTGTTTCACCAGCTGTAACAGCTACAGAATGAGCATCTTCTATTTGACTATCGCTCTCAAGAAACTTTGCGCGCTATCATAATCCCCAACAGAAACATTAATCGTCAAGCAAAAGACACTTAAGAGATATTGTTAAGAAAGATCAAATCAAGAAGAGAGAAACCTCCATAGGAGTCATATTGGCAGTGGATTTGAAGAATTTATCCAAGAACGATCCTTCAGCTGAAGAAAACGCAAGGAGAAAGTGATAAATTATATCCTTAGATTCAAGGAGAAGCTCATAGAAGTATTGAGCAACTTACAAAGCTTGATTTGAGAGGTTATATTCCCAATAGCATGAAGAAGGCCAATAGTTCCACAAGCATTACCAACAGTTTGTTTCATGAAGTAAACTTTATCACTATGCACCTATATCAATTCACCATCAACACAGAACCAGAAATGAGACTAAGACTAGAGAACAAATCATCAGATATATGTTGATCAGAAGAAAACTCACCTTTTCCTTGATTTCCTTGTCTTGCTCAATCCTCTCTTCTTCACTCTACATACCAAAAATCAATAAATTAGGTTTCTCAATCAATACATGCAGAGATGATCATAATCATTAGATAATTACAACGAAGAGACCTTTTTGGTGATTGGGTATAGGACGAGAACAGCAAGAACAGGCTTTGGAACCATCTCGAGAAGCTCATCGTCTAAACCAAACACATCATTACATTCCGCATCTTCTGGAGCAAGACCAAGCCCCCACAGAAACTGTACAAACGCATCATCAATACCAAAAATCCCTAGAATTTTCCAGATTTCCAAACGATCGGAGACGAATAGTTTGAGGAATTATGAAAATAGTACCTGATTCATGACTTCTGGGTTAGCTTCAAGTGGAAGCCATCTCTTAGATGAAGAATTCTCGTCTACAGTCGCCATCTTCGGATCTTCTTTCTCCTTCTCGATTCGATTTTTGCAGAAGAAGAAGAAATCAACACTCTTCTTCGGTTACAAGATACGAATCCCAGAAGAACTTTCGAGAATCAAGCTCATTGGGCTTAATGGGCTCAATACAATAAAAGAGCCTGGCCCAATAAAAAATGTTTATTTAAGCGTATAAAGCTTTTAAAGATTAGGTTTTTGAGCTAGGGTTTGGTACTTGTTTACTCAATCGCAGCTTCTTCTTGTTCTTCACTTTCTTTGGGCTGTGTGAATCATATCTTCGATTCTGATTCTCTCTCCATGGATTCGAATAGGCAATAAGGTTTTTTCCAGTCCTTAGAACAAAACCCATCTTTAAAAAAAAATACTCTTAGTTGGTCTTTCGATTCTATCGGACCGGGAAAAGATGGCGACTTTGAACCCTTTCGACCTCTTGGACGGTGACGCAGAGGATGCAAGCCAGCTCGTTGCGGCTAAGCCTTTGAAGGTTGAGAAAGCGGCTCCTGTTAAGCCTGCTGGTGAGCTTTTTTCTCTTTTCTTCTATTGCTCTAACTTTCTAGTTTTGGTAGATTGAGACTTAGTTTTGCCATGTGTTGCTTAGTGTTTGATTGAGTTAGTAAAGTCAAACTTCTTGATTGGTGAAGACGAGAGAGTCTTGTTTTGTTCAAGTTTTAGATTGACTCGTTTCTCTTTGAATGATTCAATCTCTATATCTCTTCTAATTCTGTTAAACTTGATTCTAGATTCCGGACATGTATCTCTTACATTGCTTGAACTTTACTTTATGTGAGAGTCACCACTGCTGGAACTTTAATGCCTTGCCTATAAGTTTATTTGATTAGATGTTGCGTTTTCTTTTATTTGAATAGAGAGGGAGGGCAAGAACGGTTA